GAATGAATGTAAAACTAAAGTTCTCCCATGCAAACTATCATATAATTCACAATAAAACATTAAAAAAAAGAATAAATGTAAGTAAGAGCAGGACAGTAGCATGGCGTGATTTGCTTTGTAGAATGAGTGGTCTGGCAGTTGTGCATAGAATGATCTATACAGGGACAAGAGAGGTGGTTAGAAGGCAGGTACAGGAATGGAGCTGAGACATCATGTTGGCACTGATAACACAGTGGCACTGAAGAAAGAAAGATGTGGATTGATTCAAGGCATCTCAGAAGGTAAAATGGAGAGATCGTAGTATTCAGCTGAATTAAGAGTGGGAGGGAGATAGATATCCCAGGAACTTATTCAACTCACTGTATCTATTCATGAGATTAGGTAACTATGGAGGAATAGTGGATGTGAGAGTGAGATCCTGAGTTTGGTCATTAATTGGTTGAATGTGAAGGATGCCCATCTGGAGATGTAGGTAGACTAGACTGTAGTCTAGATGGGTCTGTAGTTTGAAAAAGGATCTGGAGATAAAACATTCAGACGTTGCACTTTGGATAGTAATTGAAGACGTGGGTGTGAAGGAGACTTTCTGGGGAAAGAATATAGAATAGAAAAAGAGGGTGAGAGAAAAGCTGTTACCTAGAATGACTGGCATATTTTTAGATGTATGTGATCCAGTGGGTGGTAGTGTCCTAGACTATGTGGTGACCTTAACTCAGCAGTGGTAACCTTTGTTTGCACATAATGAATTTGAATAGATTGTAAAATATACACATATTAATGCCAACATAAAGGACATAAAGTTTTGCATTTGTCTTAACTTCCCCCTTGTTAGTTTTCCATACCTTACAAAAAATTAACAAGAAGAAAAAGAGACTACATCGATGACTAGTAAATTGTGGACAAATAGTATACAGAAGTGGAGAAAGACTAAGGGTAGCGGTAGGTCTCATTATAAGAAAAACAATCATAAAATGGTAGTGGAAGAGGAAAGAATGTGAATGACTATGAAAAAGCAGAGTTGGAGGGTGGAGGATGAAACTGAAGATAAAATATTAATGTAATGATTTCTTTCTAGCCAAGATCTCATCCAGAACTTTGCATATAGCCACTATGTTAGGAATATTAGATAAAGAGATTTTATCACACAATCTCATTAGTTGAAATGTACACAAAATATAACGACAGTAGTGAACTACCTTGGTAGTTTAGCTTATAGGCTTGCTTTAGCTTTCCTTAACAATTCAATGATTTCTGGCTAATAATGCTTTGATGGAGTGGGATTTTTGTCATATCGTAAGTCTTGTTTTTTTCTTGACTAACATCTTATTGCAAGTCTGTTCTATGCTGTAATTTCTTTACATTATTTTATTGAAGTAGTTGAGAATGTATTCTATGTGATTCTAATGCAATTTTATGTGGACATGATTTCTTAACAGAGAAAATTGAATATGGAGATAGAGTCCCTAAAATTACTTATCCAAGAAACAATTCAATTGAAGTACAACTAGGTAAGTAAAGTCAGTGGAGTAAGGTCCCTGGAGTTATTGAGATCAATATGGGCAGAAACCAGCAGGTCTACAGATCTTAGTGCATTTTTTGAACTTCAGGGATGAAGACAAAAAAATCTCATACAGTGTCCAGCTTTGGACATACCCCAGGTCATCAGGAGAGGCACCATAATAAAAAAACTAGGAGAGATGAAGCCTGGGAAAAATTATGGCATCTAAGGTCTGGCAGTGAACACTCTGGATCTAAATGATTATTTGAATCTGTGTATGTAGAAGCAATGGAAATATATATGTAAGAATTTCTGAAGGAGAAGTTGCAAAATGTAAAATTACAACTCACTAATATTGATCAAGAATTCTGGATTGTAAACTGAAAAGTATATTAAAGAAGTATGAATAGTTATCTAGTCTTTATTTTACAGAGAAAAAAAGGAATCAATAAATACTGCCTCAGTTTGTGATCTAACTTTAGAAAACTGAGCTCAAACTATGTTTTCTTTTTATGACAAGGGAATCATTAGTAAAACATAAACAAAAATTGAGTACCTTCTAAAGAGAACCAAAAGCAAACTAATAATAAAAAAAAAATCCATTGCCAATGAGTTGTAACAGCCCTGCAAGGTTGGTATTTCAAACCCCATAGAGTTTTCAAGGCTTGTGGTATTGTAGGATGAACACTGGACTGTTAACTGCAAGGTTGGTATTTCAAACCGCCCCCCCCCAACTTCTCAGAAACCCTATACAGGGTCTCTATGACTCAGAACTGACTTCATGGCACTTAACAACAACAATAACAACAATCTTTAGGGAAAGACAATGCTACATCAAGACTCAGATTGAGTTGATCATTAAAATCCAATTACTTGTTACTGTCAAAAGATACATATCTACAAAATCAAAAGATTAAAAATACAAGTAAGCTATATCTGGAAAAAGGAGTTCTGGTAGCGTAGTGGTTATGACTCAAGCTGCTAATCTCAAGGTCAGTAGTTCAAACTACCAGCTGCTCTGCGGGAGAAAGATGAGGCTTTCTGCTTCCTTAAAGATTTACAGCCTCGGAAACCCTGTACAAAGTCACTATGAGTTGGAACAACTCCATGGCACATAACAACCAACCATATCTGGAAAAGTTATCAAAAAATAAATCAGATTGACCTTATTAATGCCTGATAATATATTTTTTCAGGGCACAAAATTAAATTATAAATTGAGTTATTTTATAGTAACAAATTATAACGCTTCCCCAAGTAGCAAATTTTATGTTTTAAATAGCAGCACATTTAAATTAAGCTACAATTCAGAGAAATACAAGGTCAGAAACAATTGTTGTGGGAAATTTTAACATATTCTGGCTAAGCAAATAAAGATCAAAGGATTTGAAATAAAAGTAACTTATTTCTTAGCTATCTCTCATAAGTATCTATGAAAAAACTCAAAATTCCAAATGGAAATTGCTTAAATCACATGGTACAATCACAATGAGATAAACCTTGAAATTTACAACTAAAGTTAAAACTGTGAAATATCCCACTCATTAAAAAAACCTGACAACAAAGCCATCTTCCAGTTTTTTTGTTTTCTTGATTAGAGATTAAAATAAAGCATGAATATTTATGAAATAATGATAGTGTATTAAATTTCATGAAATGTGACCAATGCCACACTCTAAGAACTTTATATTTTTCACTATCATCATTACTAAACACAGAAATGATTAAAATATGTAAATTAACCAAATAACTATATAAAAGAGAGCAACTGAAAAGCTCCAACAAAGAAAATGGCAATGATAAAATAAAATAATGAATTTACACATAAAAAAACTAGAATTAATAAATTTGAGTTGGCTCCTAGTGGAAGAGATGAATGGGGGGATACAATAGATCAATAAATAGATAAAGTTCTAGCAAGGTTAATCCCCAAGATGAATTGTTGTTGTTATGTGCCGTGGAGTCGGTTCTGACTCATAGAGACCCTGTGCAGGGTTTCTGAGGCTGTAAATCTTTACGGGAGCAGAAAGCCTCGTTTTTCTCCCGCAGAACATGAAGAGTAATCCAAATATAGAAGACTTAGAAATGCGAAAGCTTACAAAGAGAAAGAGAATAAAAATCTCAATAATAGCAAATTTTGATAAGTCTAAGAATGTATGGATTATGATCTAGGGTGTTCCTAAAAGAAAAATAATTTTAAGAATACAGGGTTGAATAGAATCACAAGACATAATCAATCCAAAAGGTAACAAGGAGAAAAGCCACACATAGGACAAATGCAACAAGTAGAGAGTTGGTTTAAACTCACCAAAATCCAAAACCAAGCCTACTGCCATTAAGTTGATTCCAATTTATAGGGATTCTGTATAGGGATTCTGAGACTGCAAATTTTCAGTCTCATCTTTCTTTCAAGGAGAGGCTGGTGGACTTGAACTGCTTATCTTGTGGTTAGTAGTCCATCCAGCCCAATGTGTCACCAGGGCTCACTCTTATATATCATTAATTACAAAATGGGCTAATTTCTCAAAATGTAAAGATTGTTATTGCATTAAAACAAAACTTCTTTGCTATTGATAAGATCCTTGAAGACACGGATAGAAAATGCTACTATATACTATAAACAAAGTAATGTTAGTATAATCAAACCAACCAGTTTCTATCAAGTTGATTTCTACTGACAGTGACTCCGTGCATTTCAGCATGGAGCTTCAGAACTGTGCTCCATATGGTTTTCAATGATTGTGATCTCTCAGAAGCAATTTCCAGGCCTTTCTTCTGAGGTGCTTCCGAACAGACTCACAAATCATAACCTTTCTTTTAATAGTTGAGCACTTAACCATTTGCTCCACCCATGGACTCTAGTGTTGGTATAATTATACTAATACCATGGTAGAGTTTAAGGTAAAGAACATAAGGGGCAAATATAGATACTTCGTAATGATATAAAGTCAGTTCTGAATCTGTGGATACATAATAACATGGCCTTAAAAAAACATGGATGTGTATACATAATATATATAATTGGTGTTCAATGCTGATGAGTCATTTCCAACTATTCATAGCGGACCTGTATAGTGTTTCCAAAGAATGACTGGTGGATTTGAGCTGCCAACCTTGAGGTTCAAATCGACTTTCGGGTCCAGGGCTTATTCTCCAGTGCCACACCAGGACTTCATGTATATGTGTATAGATATGTATATGTGAATGAACATCTAGATAGATAGATAGATAGATAGATAGATAGATAGATAGATAAATAGATAGATAGATATATGGATGTAGATAGATAGATGATAGATAGATAGATAGATAGATAGATAGATAGATAGATAGATAAATATGTGAATATTTAGGTATATACATACAGCCCATACAAAATTCAGAGTTAAAGCAGACATTGATAATGATGATGTTGACATTGATTTTCCAGTAATGGATAAAACAAAGAAACAAAACACCCAATCTTAATGAACAAAATGTAATAAATGATCTACTATTCAGATGAGTCCTGGTGTGGTGCCGTAGGATAAGCATTCGACTTCAAGGTTGGTTTGAACTGCAAGATTGGTGCTTCAAACTCACTAGACCTTCCTTAGAAACCCTATACAGGGGTGGCTATGAGTCGGAACCGACTTGACGGCACACATCAACAATAACAACAATGTTCAGATATGGAACTCTACACTCAGCTCCTATAGACTACAACTTCTCTTTAAATGTAAATGAAATTGACCATATGCTGGGTCAGAAAACTGACCTGAACAAAATTCAATGGCTTGAAATTATATAGACTACATGCTTTCAAACGAAATTCAATTAGAAATAAATATTAAAAAGAAACTAGAATAAACACATGGATTCAAAAACAAACACATTTAAAAAAATTGTATATGATGCACAGTTCAGAAGAGTAGTAACTATAGAAATTAAAGAATATTTTGAACTGAATCTTAATGAAAGACTACACATCACAACTGATATGTTACAGCCAGATTTGGTAGAGTGCAGCATATCAAATATCTATGAGCTAAATGCTCAGTACTAGAAGTTAGAAGGAGAAACAAAATAAAGCCAAAGAAAATATAGGAAAGAAAAGTTTAAAAGTCAGTAATAGAAAATAATGATACAGAGAATAAACATACTATAGAGTGATTAATAATGCCACAAATTGAATTTGAAAATATAATAAAATTGCTTTTCAGGATTGATCTAGAAAAAGAAGACAGGAATTGAAAAAGAGGGACAGAATTGTAGCTCATATAGGCATTGTACAAATAATAAGAGACTATTCTGAACACCTTTATCCTATATAATTTGAAAGTTTAAGGAAAATGGACAAACTTAGAAAAATCAACATACAGATGGAGACAAGATATTGAATTCATCATATTCATACAACTATTTAAATGAATTCTATAATTTAAATTCTTCCCTCAAACAAAAATTAGATCAAATTGGTTTTATGGGTACATTCTACAAAACTTAAGAAAGAATCACCAATTTTAGACAAATTCTTCCAGAGAAGAAAAATAAGAAAAGCAGCTCTTAACTCACTTTATTATGCTAGTGAAAGCTAGACATCACAACCCAGCAAGGATTATATTGTTGTTGTTGTTAAGTGCCGACGGGTCAGAAGATGAGTCAGTTCTGATCCGTAGCTACTCTGTATAGGGTTTCCAAGGAGCAGTTGATGAGACTGAACTGCTGACCCTGTGGTTCAAACCAACTTTGCAGTCTAGCGCATTAACCCATAGTGCCACACCAGGACTTCTACGCACCACACCAAGATTATAATGTTGTTATTGTTAAATGCCGTCAATCAGTTCCGACCCTTAGCAACTTTATATAGGGTTTTCCGGTGAGCTTGAACTGAAAACCTTGAAGTTCAAATGACTTTGCAATCCAGCGCATTAACTCACAGTGCCACACCAGGACTCATTCCGAAAGGAAAAATTCATGCCAGTTTTAATCATGAATATTCATGACACTTAGCAAATTATTAGCATATTGATTTCAACAGCACATTTAAAGAAAAATACATTATGATTCAATTGTATTTATCCTAGGAATGCAAATTTATTTACTAACAGATGATTTGTCTTTCTTTTTCATATTAACAGACTAAAGGAGAAAAATCATATATTTATCTCTATAGATACAAAAAACACATTTGGAAAAATGGAATCATGATGTCATTATTTAAAAATAAAATTGAGGAAACTAGAAATAGAAGGAAACTTCCTTATCTGATTAAATCTATTTTTTAACACCTGCAGAGAGTTCTCAAAACTGAAATTTCAAACACTTTTCCTTTGTATTGAGAAAGAAGACAAGGGTTCTGTTTATTGTCACTTTTATTGTTCATTGGCCTAGAGTTAAATTGGCCTAGTTAGTTAAATAAAGCAAGAAAAAGGAAAAAGGTAAAAAGATTGGAAATGATAAAATAAAATTGTAATTTTTTTATGATATGATTGTGTTTGTACTCTAAAACAAATGCAAAATATTCATAATAAGTGAACTAAACAGCTTTGTTGGGCTCAAGATCAGTATACAATGTTCAAGGGAGCATATTTGGGTGTCATCAACAAACAAAATGTTAATATATTTAATATAATATTTATAATAACAGTGAATTTAATATAACATTTATAATAACACAATTGATTAAATATTGCACTGGACTGCTAACCACAATATTGGCGATACAAACCCACCAGCCACTCCTCGGAAACCCTATACAAAGTCGCTGTGAGTTGGAACCAACTTGGTGGCACTTAACAACAATAAAAATATTGAATATCTAACAACACTTCTGGTAGATCTCTGGACAGGAATTATTAAAACATCGAGAGAAAGAAGACTTCAATAAATAAGAATCCATATCGTGTTAATAGGAGCTCTGGTAGTGTAGTGGTTACAAGTTGGGCTGCTAACCTCAAGGTCAGTAGTTCGAAACTACCAGCCGACCCATGGGAGAAAGATGAGGCTTTCTGCTCCCATAAAGATTTACAGCCTTGGAAACCCTGTACAGGGTCACTGTAGGTCAGAACCAACTCCACAGCATACCACCACCACCTTATGTGTTTATGGAGTAAAAAAGTCATTAAAGCAAAGTTGCCAGTTTTTCCCAAACTTATCCATATTATTGCTGTTGTTGTTAAGTGCTGTCTAGTGGGTTCCGACCCATAGAGACCCTGTATAGGGTTTCTGAGGAGCGGCTGGCAAGCTTGAATTGCTGACCTGTGGTTCCAGCTGACTTTGCAGTCTAGCACAGTAACCCACAACGCCACACCAGTACTTCAAATTGATCCATAGGTTCAATTACATACCAGTCAAAATCTCAACAGATTTTAGCTTTTTGTAGTTTTATAAGTTGAAGTCCCAGTGTGGCGCTGTGGGTTAATGCATCAGACTTTAAAGCAGTTTGAACTGCAAGGTCTGTGGTTCAAGCTAAACAGCTGCTCCTCAGAAACACTACTCAGGGTCGCTATGGGTCGGAATTGACTCAACTGCACTTAGCAACAATAAAGTTGATTATAACATTTATAAGGACATGCAAAGATTTAGTAATAGTCAAGACACTTTAATAAAGAACTAAATATGAGGACTTATGTTTCCAGATACCAAAAGAAATCTTTGATAATTAGCACAGTCCTGGTTGGTGCTATAGGACAAGCATTGGACAACTAATCACAAGATTGGCAGTTCAAACCCACCAGCCGTTTCTCGGAAACCCTATACAGGGTTGCTATGAGTCGGAACCAACTTGATGACACTTAACAACAAGCTTTGACACAAGAATGGACAATGGAACAGAGGTAGACTCAGACATATACGGCACTTGGTTTGACAAAGTTGTTACGACTGAAGAGTAGAGGATCTGCCATCTTTACACTAAAAGATACTAGATGGTTAGATGTAACATAGAATAAAATCAAACCGCTCATATCTCACATTTCTAAAGATAGTTTCAAGTGTACTGCAACCTTAAGTATGAAATGTTAACCAATGATGTTTCTAGAAAAAAAAAAAATCATAATTTGGGAATTCTTGTTAAGTGCCATCGAATTGGTTCCTACTCATAGCGATCCAGTATAGGGTTTCCGAGGAGCATCTCGTGAGTTTGAACCGACGCTGTAGTTCAAACTGACCTTGAGATCCTGTACTTATCTATAGCACCATACCAAGACTCTTAATTTGGGAGTAAGAAAAGATTTTTTTTTAAAAGAAGAAGATTTACAACACAGTAATCATGAAGGAAAATGTTTGTTAAGTGCCATCAAATCAGTTCTGACTCATAGTGACCCAGTGTAGGATTTCTGAGGAGCAGCTGGTGCATTTTAACCACTGGCCTTGTGGTTAATAGTCCAGTTCTTATCCTACAATGCCACACCAGAACACCAAAGGAAAACATAGGATTACATTAAAAGTAAGAGCCCTGTTTAAGAAAAGACAACAATAAAGAATGAAAAAACAAGCCTCAGAGTTGGAGAACACACTAGCAAAAAGTGGATAAAGATCACTTTATATATCTAGACAAATGACGAACTACAAATCAATAAGGAGAAGGTAACATAATAGAGAGACAGGCAAGTAATTTGGGCAGACAATATAAAAGAGGATACCCAAATAGACAATAAGAAGGTGCTTAGCCAAGTGCAATTCAGGGGCATGCAAATTAAATTCACAATGTGAAACTTACTAGAAACGCTAACATAAAATAACTGACAATATGGTGAATATGTAAGCCAACAAACTGTCATAGACTGCTGGTGGAAGTGTAAACGGGAATAATCGCTTTAGAAAACAGTTCAACATCATCTTTAAAAGTGGAAGATAGATACATAATCTAAGATCTGCCAGTTTTATTAGATAGGTATGTATACCCATACAGAGTCCTTGTAGCATAGCGGGTAATGAGTTGTGCTGCAAACTGCAAGGTCAGCAGTTCTAATATACTAGTCACTCCTGGAGAGGAAGATGAGTCTTTCTGCTCCCGTTAGGATTTTAGGATGTTACAACCTTGGAAACCTTATATAGGGTAGCTATGAGTCAGAACCAACTCCACGGCATACCACCACCATGTGTACCTATTAGAAATATGTATGTGGTACCTCAGAAGTCATGAATGAAAGTTTACGAAGGAGCTCTGGACCTAATTGGAAATATTGAAAACAATTCAAATGTATATATGAAAATAGCAATAGTCCCATATGACCCGTTGCCAGGGAGTCAATTTGTACTCAAAGACCTTATAGCACAGAGTAGAATTGCCCCATAGAGTTACGAAGGCTGTAAATCTTTATGGAGACAGACTGTCACATCTTCTCCCATGGAGTGACTGATATGTTTGAACCTCTGACCTTTTGGCTAGTACTCTAGTGTGTAACCACTGTGTCACCAGGGTTCCTTATAGCAAAGTTGATAAGAAAAAGAAATCATAATATATTCTGTTGTCTGAGTGAAGTATAATTACAGGCAACACCTTGGATATATTTTACAAGCATCATGTAATAGAGTAACAGAAGCAAAAGTGTCCGGATGTATGTATGTTATTGTTTTGTGCCGTTGACTTGGTTCTGACTCACAGTGGCCCTGTATGGAGACTTTGAATCTTCATGGGAGCAGAAAACCTCATCTTTCTCCTGTGAAGAAACTGGTTGGTTGACAATGATGATCTTGTGGTTAGCAATCTTGTTCTTACCCTACAGCACCACTAGTGCCCCGTATGTATATTTATATGTATATGTGCATGGGTGATAAATTAGTAGGGAATGAACAAGTAGGATGGCAGTAGGGTTCTGGCATTATCTTATTTTCTGGATGAGGTTGTATATATATTTGATGTATAATAATTAATCAACTTTACATTTATGTTTTATGCTTTTTTACTATGGTTGGTTGCGGTTAGGTGCTGTCAAGTTCTGATTCATGATGACCCTGTATAGGGTTTCCAAGGAACGGCTAGTGAGCTTGAACTGTAACCTTGCAGTTCAAACTGATGTTTCAGTCCTGCGCCTTAACCCACAGCACCACACCAGGACTTCATGTGTGCATTCTGTTTCTCAACAAATTTAAAATACCACCTAGAATAAAGGACACTCATTGGCACTCATTGAAGTAGACTGTTTAGAAGTATAGTGCTTTTTTTTTTTTTTTTTTAACATGTAGCAGATAGGTGGAATTTATTAGACTCATGAGGCAAAATAAAGTTAAAACATAATTAAATATAATATGTGTGTAGAGGCAGGAGAAGAAGCAGGGGTGAGACCAGGAGAGCACAGTTGGAAAAGAGAAAGATCATTGGAATTAGAGGACAAGAGTTCATGTCTCATTGCTTTCTCAAACTAATGTGTGGCCTCGGGCAAGTCACTCTAGCTATGTGACTTGCCATCTGTAAAATAGGAATGGTAGCATGTCCCATTTTCTGCCCTGTAGGACTGTTGTGAAGATAGGAAGACTAAACAACAAAATATGTATGAAATGCTCTGTGAACTGTGAGGTTCTTCATTAATGTTTCTAAGAGTAGGAGTATTATTCACATCTAGGACATTATGGAAAACGTTTTACAGAAGCAGGTGATATTTGGCAGCATATACATATGTCTTTATAGTAAATATCCAGAAGGCCATTTGTCTCTTATGATTCTCTGTCAGAGGGGGCATCAGTGGTACTATAGGGTTAAGAACAAGATTGCTAACCACAAGGTCATCAATAATACTGGTAGATTGGTATTGACCCAAGGGGATATTTCTGGTAACCAAAAGATATTCAAGACTCAAAAACAAAGGTTTTATTGACCAGGTAATTTTTGGTAGTTATTTCATTTAATATATTGGTGGGTTTGATTTTTACAGGCTCCACCCTTATTGTGGATTGCAATATCACAGACGTGAGAGATAACACAAATCTACGATGCTGGAAAGTCAATAACACTCTGGTGGATAATTACTATGGTGAATCCCAACGAATCAGAGAAGGACTCGAGTAAGTCTTGTTTTCCGGCTTCTTCATCTCAATTAATTTGGCATTATTACTGCCTACCCCCCACCCCACCATTCTCACTGCCTTCTTAGCACTCATTTTAGCTTTGTCTTTCGAAGATCTACTCAGTCCTGGTTCACAATGGGTATTATACAGCCAAGCAGCTGGTTCAAAGAATTCACTGCTGCAAATTCCACTGCTAGCCTTGTACTAGGCAGATGATGTGAAGCATGAAGAATGGTGTTAAAGCAATACGATCAGTTTCTCTCAGCTGCTAGTTAAAGCTAGTCTCATTTTCATTTAGTTATGGGTCATAGGCATTCAAGAGTTAAAGAGCAAATTAAGCAAAAGTACAGAGATAGAACATGATCATTAACTAATTGAATGGTATGGAGTCTTGGGGTAATTAAAATGGCTAATAATTATAAGGTTGGAAGTTCAAGTCCACCCCAGAGGTACCTTGGAAGAAAGACCTTGTGATCTACTTTTGAAAACCCACCCATTGGAAAACTTATGGAGCACAGTTAGTTCTACTCTGACATACATAGGGTAGCCATCACTGGGATCAGTGTTAATGGCAACTGGTTTACTTGTTCATTCAGTGGTATAAACAATAAGAATGAAACAACAGGACAGAAGAACTAGTGGTGTGCCTTGAAGGGTCTTGTTGTTGTTGTTAAGTGCCATCGAGTTGGTTCTGACCCATAGCGACCCTGTATAGGGTTTCCGAGGAGTGACTGGTGAGCTTGAACCACCGACCTTGCAGTTCAAACAGCTTTGTAGTCTGGCTCATTATCTCACAGTGCCACACCAGGACTCTGCCTTGAAGGGTAGTACATTAGGATAAGACGAGAGGAATAGGGGATGACCTGGTAGGGCTGAAGATGTTATCTACAGATAAAAGAAATACACTTTCTTGTCACTTTCCAGAATAAAGTATAGAATTGGAACTATTCAGTTGACAGACTTCAATTAGCCACTTTAGTGAGCTGTTCTTAGAGGAAAATGATGGTCCAAACTGTTCTCTAGGAAGTAATTGTATTCTCCAGAATAAACATTATAAAGTATGTTGGTAAATATGATTCATGCATTAATAACTGGTTCTATTCTTTTGCAGATCATGTGTACCATTAGAACAATACAATAAGTACACAGTAAACATAACTTTCCTTGAAGTGAAAATGGAAGATTATGGTCGCCCTTTTGTGTGTCATGCTGGCGTATCGGCAGCATACATTGTACTAAAGCTCCCAGGTAATGTTCCAGTGGGTTTAGCATGTTTAAAAGGATGATGAGGAAACACATAAAAGAGATGTGACATTAAATGTTTAATGTGAGGCAACAGAATAGTACTACATTGTTAAGTACTATTGAGTCAGTTCTGACTCATAGTGATCCTGTATAGGATTTCTGAAGAGTGGCTGGTGGGCTTGAACTTCCGGCCTTGTAATTAGCAGTCCAAAACTTAGCCTACAGAACCACACCAAGACTCCAGTGTTACACTGTTGTTGGTAAATGCCGTCAAGTCGGTTCTGACCCATAGTGACCCTGTATAGGGTTTCTAAGGAATGACTGGTGAGCTTGAACCGCTGACCTTGTGGTTCAAACTGACTATGCAGTCCAGTGCCTCAATCCACAGTGCCACACTAGGACTCCAGTATTACATAGAGAAGCTAAATATGAAATTTAGTGAAAAGCTGACGCAGTGTCTTAATAATGTTCTTGGAGTGAGGCTGTGCTTTTATTATAGTATACCCTGAAAATGGAATCCTGGTGTGGCACTGCAAGATAAGCACTTGACCAAAGGTCAATTTGAACCACAAGGTTCAGTGGTTCAAACTCACCGGCTGCTCCTCAGAAACCCTATACCGGGTCACTACTGGTCAGAACCAACTCGACGGCACTTAACAACAACAAATCCTGAAAATGCTATATTCATATATGCTTTATGTAACAGAAGTCTTGAAAAGAGACATTTTTTGACCATTAAGCCTGATTTCTCAACTTTTAAAACTATTTGCCTATGGTTTTACGCTTTTAGAAAGTTAATTATAAATAATTCTATGTGAATAAAATGCATATACGAGAAGGTTTCAAAAAGCTAATGGAAAAATGAAATTTAAGTTAATGGGATTTTTCTATGAACTCTTTAAAGACCCCACTTGTATTTATTTTTATAATATAACTTTAGAAGGAGTCTTGGTGTGGCGCTGGAGGAGGGCGTCAAACTCAATGAATGTACACATGTACTACTCTTCAAATGGTCCAGAGTTTATTGATTCTCTGTTCGAGATCATAAAGTCAAAGAATAGAGAGTGAAGAGGAAAATTATAATATTAAGAAAACAACTCTGAATTCATAACATACCAGTGAAGAGAGTATGAAGTACCTTGTAGAATGCTGAGCTGTGGTTCCCCAAGACAATGTGTTTTAAATTCAGTGACTCTCATTTTATTTATTTATTTTTAATTTAGGCACATGCAAGAGCAGAGGGTTTGAATTTGCCAATGTCCCTTAATGCTAAGTTAAATCCTAATTAAAATCCCACTAGAACTGTTTTTAAGGAGCTCTGGTAGCGTAGTGGTTATGAATCGGGCTGCGAACCAAAAGGTCAGCAGTTTGAAACTACCAGCTGCTCTGCGGGAGAAAGAGGAGGCTTTCTGCTCCCATAAAGATTTACAGTCTGTCTCAGAAACCCTATTCAGTGTCGCTATGACAGCACTTAAAAACAACAACAAGAGAACTGTTTTTGCAGAATTTAACATAAAGCTTTTGCTCCAGGGCTGCCGAATGAATGTGGCAACTGTGCCTTTTCCCCTACCAAGTTCTTGACCTGAGGCGTGTCCTTCACCTCTGCCAGAAATGCATGCAGCAGCCTGTACTTCCAAGCTTAGTTAACACAGTGATGCTGTAACAAAAATGCCAGAAATGACTAGCTTTAAAGAACAGAAATTGTATTCTCACAGTTCCAAATTCAGGGCATGACCATTCTTCTTTGTCTATTTCAGCTTTGAAAAACCAAAACTGTTGTCGAAGTCCATTTGGTTCTCACTCATGGAGACCCTATAGGACAGAACTGCTTCCTAGAGTTCCCAAGGCCACAGTATTTACTGAAGCAGATTGCTATAGCTTTCTGCCACAGAACAACTGGCTTGTGTCCCCTGAGCCTTTTGGTTAGCAGCTGAATGCTTAACCATTGAGATGTTTTAGTCCCCTTCAAAAGCCCATTTCCTGGAGTTTTTTCCTACTAATAGTAACCCTAAAAGACAGGGTAGAACTGCCCCATAGGGTTTCCCAAACTGTAAATCTTTATGGAAGCAGGCTATTTAATTTTCTCCTGAGGAGTGGGCTTGAACTGCTGACCTCTCCATTAGCAGCAGAGTGCTTTAACTACTGCACCACCAGGGCTCCTATTTCAGTTTGCAGTAACTTGCAGTCCTTGGAGTTCTTTGGCATTCCTCTCTTTGTCCTCTGTGCATGTCTCTGCGTCTAGTCTAACCTTTTAGTAACTCCCGAGCAACTAGCTTTAGGATTCACTCAATTCTGCTCTGACCTCATTAGCATATCAGAAGAAAACCCCTATTTCCAAGAGGTTAGGATTTCAACACATTTTGGAGGACACAGTTCAATCCACTGTGGCCCTTAACTGCCTTACCTGAAAAGTGAATACACTACATCTCCATTCTTCACCTTGGACCTATGCAGAATGCTTTCTGATTGCATCAGGTGGAAGGGACTTTATGTTCATCTTCCACCCCTGTCCACTTTTTCTCTTAATGGCTTTTCTGTATCATAGAGTGTCACTATTGATCACGTTTCCCCCAGTGCATCTTGTTCATCCTATTTCTCTCTTTGGTACATCTAGACAATTCTTGAAGTATCAACATTTGAAGTGCTGCTCTTCCTGCATTCTTGTCCATGATGCTATTCCTTACTCTCAGGGCTCCAATTAACATCCTCATCCAGGTGGAAGTTCTAAATCTCCAAATGTATTCTCCGTTCTCAAGTAGCAGTCAAGCAATGCTGACTGCCCACTAGACCACAGATTAATCTCCCAAAGCCTCTTAATCCACGATTCCATGTTTCTCACTTCCAAATTATTCAAAATCTGGGAATCATCCTAATGGCTCCATCTTTCTCCAGCATGCCTTACATCCAACTGCTTGCCACATTCTGTAAACTCTTCCTGCACACGGACAGTCTGCTGTATCTGTCCTTCCTTTCTACTCCCATTGGAAGGTAGATACTGGGGTGGTTACGAACAAGGACTTTAGGGTCAGGATCCAGGTTTATATTCGAAGTCTACCATTTATGAGTTGTGTGAACACGGATCTGTTACTCAACCTCTCTGTGCTCATTTCCTTCTCTATAAACTGAGGATAATAATAATACCTTCCATTCAAGATTGCTGTTGGGATTAATTGGGGTTTATCTTTTTACTCTTTGATTGTAAAATATAATGCATAAACTCACATTTTCTAGATAGCTAGGAAAGAACATACAGATTATATGTACCATATAAAAATAATTATATAGCAAATCCTAGATTAAGAACAAGAATATTATAAGACCTGAAGAGTCTCCAAATGCTTCTTGATTACAACCTTTTTTCCTTTCTTTAGATAACCATTGTACTAAGTTTTAGACTAATAATTTTCTTGCTTTTCTATGAAAAGTAGATTTTCCTTAAAATATAGCTCAATTTGACCTGATTTGAAACTTTGTGTAAAAAAATTTATAGTGTGTTTCCTTTGATGGTATGCTTCTTTTCTCTAGTGGCATTGTAGGGTAAGTCCTGGACTGCCAACTGCAATGTTGACAGTTCAAATCCATCAGCTGTTCTATGGGAGAAAGGTGAAGCTTTCTGCTCCTGTAGATTTATAGACTTGGAAACCCTATGTAGTGTTGCTATAAGTCAGAATTGATTTGAGGGCCATGAGATGAAATGGTTTTTCATTTCTTACATGCAAAACATGAATTGGTGCTTCAATGATGTAGGATGTAGCTTTGAACAGCCACGTTAATTTCTGAATTGCATTTCACTGAATAGCCAGGCCAAAATCGATCCATTCTACTATAGACTGGAGTCTGGGTGTGGCGCCGTGGGCTAGTCAGACTGCAAAGCCATTTGAACAGCAAGGTTGGTGGTTCAGGCTCAGTAACTGCTCCTTAGAAACCCTATACAGGGTCGCTATGGTTCGGAACCAAACTTGATGGCACTTAACAACAACTATAGACATACGATCATTTGACTTGTGCCTCCTTTGAGGCTATAACAATTCATGCTGCTGTGAAAATTCCTGCATTTGTATCCTGGTAATCATGTGAAAGCAATCTTCCCTGATAAATCTCTAGGAGTGGGATTGCCAGATGAGAGCCCATCTTTAACTCTTCTATGTAAATGCTGAACTGTTCTTTAATGTGATTGGAACAATGCATGCTCTTTAATGTGATTGGAACAATGCATGCTCCACACTTAACTAGGAGAGTATGAGAGAATTAAATGAGACTAAATTTGCTTTGCAAAGTTTGTCACTCTGTAAACTCTACAAAAAGGTTGGTATTTTCATTATGATGGTCAAGCCTCTCTCCATTATTAAGTGCCAGTTGGATAATTATGAGAGTTTTCTCAATAGTTGCCTCAAAATTTTTCTATGGTTCAAACTAGTCTATCAAATGTAGTGGAAGTTGTCTCCCCCAAGGAAGGCTGTAACTCTGCCACCCCCATGCCTGGGTATTCAATACCACTTCCTCAGCTCTGGACTGAAGGTGGCACATAAGGGCCTCCCTGATGTAACTTTTCACACTCACTTCCTGTGCAGAACAGAGTGAGATCAGGGTCAAAGGTGAATCTCCCTTGGGCCAGAAATCAAGAGATCATATTCTGACAAAGGAGGTAACTTAGCAGAGGTATTCATTTAAACTTAACAGTTTAATTTAGACCAAGCAGTACTATGACTCTGTCTTTAAATACCTTGAAACTAGGCATTGACTTCGCGTCTTTGTAATATAGGTCTGTTCTTACATTCTTTTCCAAGACAAGCCTGTTTTGACCATGTTGAAAATCTGCTTTGATAGGTATTTTCGTCTATTTCCTTACCTAGCTCAGCAATGAAATTTTCAACAATGTCAGCGTCAGTGCTCCTTGTTTCTGCAGCTATGCATCTGTATGTATATACTTGAAGTGATGAAGCCAGCCCTTGCTGGCAGTAAGTACTTGTGTTAATCTTCTCCTTGTTCCTTCAGGTTCCAGA